GATTTTATTTATTTATTCGAGAGAGAGAGAATGAGAGATAGAGAGCATGAGAGGGAAGAGGGTCAGAGGGAGAAGCAGACTCCCTGCCGAGCAAGGAGCCCCATGTGGGACTCGATCCCGGGACTCCAGGATCATGACCTGAGCCGAAGGCAGTCGCTTAACCAACTGAGCCACCCAGGCGCCCTGTTGTCTTGTTTTTAACGAGTAAAAAGGAAAAGATATTGTTTCCTCCCTTACATAATCAAGAATTTGCTTTAAATAATAAATATGTCTATTGTTGGTATACACATCTGAAGACTTTTCCACAAGTCCATATCATACTAAATTTTCTAATTCATCCCAGTGTGATTCTGATAATTACTTGGCTTTGCATTTTACCACAGGATCGCTGAATATTTCAATGACTGCAAAATGCCAAGAGAAAGGTAGAAACAGCAATGGAGATCATTAGAAGTTATAGTGTTACATTAAAATAGTGACAAAAGGGGAAAATTGCAAGGGTAAATTAAAATAAGATTGAATTTCCTTTCCAAAAGGAAAGAGATCTTTTCTCCCCCACCTTTTCTTAGAACTTTTCCATGAGAAAACTTGTATCTGTAAAGAATTCCTCTGTCCCTTTGGTATGCATGCAAATCTTATTAAAGGTTAAATAAGCCTCTTACCAGAATTAAAACCCAGGAAGATTTTTCAGCAGGGCCTGGGAGCCCATATCTTTTCAATGTCAGCATCAAGGAAGACAGCGCCCCATCTCCCTGTCATCGTGGGAATCCAGCTGAGGCATCTCAACTACCTGCTCATCATAGAGGTACAAGAATTTTCATTTTTCCTTCAGAAAGAGGTCATTAACTAGCACAGACGGCCACCCCAATGACCACAGAGTGATCATTCAACCCAATGAATGCAGAGTGAATTTGAAAGCACGTATAGCAAGTGGGACTGTTGAGTCCTCTTGCCCGACAAGTGCTCATACCCGAGAACATGCACATAGGGTCGTATTTGCTTGTCTACATGGAAGTGGTGGGATTTCTCTTCTGTCTTAATAATTTTATGCCTTAGGGGCGCCTGGGTGGCTCAGATGGTTAAGCGTCTGCCTTCGGCTCAGGTCATGATCCCAGGGTCCTGGGATCGAGTCCCGCATCGGGCTCCCTGCTAGACGGGAAGCCTGCTTCTCCCTCTGCCTCTGCCCCTGCCTCTCTCTCTCTCTCTTTCTGACTCATGAATAAATAAATAAAACATTAAAAAAAATTTAAAAAACATTTTATGTCTTAACTAGCAGATGACCTGTGACACAGCCTGGTCTGAGTTAATGCTTACTCAGTAATAGAACTATTCCTTTTTGACATTATTAGTAGGGAGGGTTTTCTGGGTGGGCAGATTTTATTTTTCAAGATGTTTTCCTTGGGACACCTGGGTGGCTCAGTCGGTTAGGCAGCTGCCTTCGGCTCAGGTCATGATCCCAGAAGTCCTGGGATTGAGTCCTGCAACGAGTCTGCTCGGCGGGGCACGGGGCGGGGGGGGGTCGGCTTCTCCCTCTCACTCTCCCTCTGTGCTCTCAAATAAATAAATAAGTAAATAAATAAATAAATAAAATCTTAAAAAAATAATCAAATAAATAAATAAAATCTTAAAAAAAATGTTTTCCTCAACAGGGCAAGAATCTGCCTTCCATGTTACTGTAGGGGACAGTTTTACCAAATGTTTTATCATGACCTAAAATGGATCCAGCACTGTGTTTCCTCACTGCCCACCACCCAGCCAGGTTTTCGCCCCATTTCAAGGGGCACATTTTCACGTTAGTTAGGGTTAGGATAAGCTATGATGCAGTAATAAATAAACCTATATATCTCATCCACTTAATGCAAGCAGAAGCTTCCTCCTTGCTCAGGGCATGGTTTAGTGCATGAATGGTTTAAGGGGAGCTAGGGGGCTCCTGTTCCATTGCAGTCAAGAGGCTGCTACAACAAAATACCGCAGACTGGGTAGCTTGCAAACAACAAATACTTATTTCTCACAGTTCTGAAGGTTCAGAAGTTCAACATCATGATGCCAGCAGATTTGGTGTGGCAGCTGGTGAGAGCCTACTTCCTGGTTCATAGATGGCTGTGCACTCACTTGGTGCCAAGGGACTAGAGATCTCTCTGGGATTCTTCTCTAAGGGCACTAATCCCATTTATGAGGGCGCCACCCTCATGACCCGATCACCTCCCAAATGTCCCTCCTCCTGACACCATCACTTGGTGGATTCAGATTTCAACATATGAATAGGGTTGGGGGTGGGGTTCAGTCCACAGCAGGACTTAAGGAGGCAGGTTCTTTTGTGTGGTGGTTCTGCCATCTCCAACATGAGGACTGGCCTCAGAAGCAGGAACCGCAAGCCAAATCCCCAGATCTCTAGCCCAGAAACTTGTCACCTGAGAATCTTGCAGTCCGTGACCTTCAACAGGTCATAGAAATCAGTCAGGCTTCAGCACCCCGCTGGGACCTTGAGCACAGAGTCATGTGGGCTCTTGTGAATTCCAGAACTGACGCTGGAAACCCAGGAAGCCCCCTAATTGGGTTTGGGACCCAGCAGCCTGGTCATGGAGTCTGGAGAGACTTGTGGGGTGAGGGCTCACCTAAGCCAGGAACCTGACATCAGAAACCTTGGGTTCAAGTCTTGGCTTATGTCTGACTAACCATGTCTCTGAGCTTCCGTAGAAATGGGTACCCTACAGGCTGCATGAGATGGTTTCAAGACTTAAGGAAGGTGATGTTTGGGAAGATGCTTTGAAACTAAAAGGCACAAGACAAATAACTACTTAATATGACTCATCTGGCTTTCGTGGAGCCCTTCGCCCGCGTGGCCGACAGCTCACTTCCATTCAAAGATTGGGGTGAAGTAGCCCACGGCAGCTCCTTCCAGACCTGTTAGATGGGATTCTAGCTAGACAAAACCCTCCTTCGGGGACTCTGTGGAGCTCCCTCCCAAAGTTCTAAGGCTAACAGCCCCAAAGTCTGGGAGGTTTTGTAGCTCATGGGCCCACCACATGATGATGGAAGGGCCCAAAAGATGCTTCCAGGAAGCCATTCTCGGCAAACACCGGACAAAGTCTGGACTCTACCCCCACCTCTGGCCCAGTCTCCAAACATTAGTGACCCTCAGCCCTCTGTCTTCACCCCACCTGTCCCCAACCCGGGCTTTGGGATTATTTTGGGGTCATTATTTTGTCCCCGGCTTGCTAACTGAAGCTTCTACTGTTGGGCCATGTGTCCCAGACCACGTCCTTCTGCCTCAGTCCCCCCAGCACTGTTTCCTAGAGCTGAATGGGAAGAGGGAAGAAATCACCAAAGAGGAGCATCTTGACTTCAGCACATCTGCCCTTAAAAAATCTCTCTGCTGACATCTGCGGGGGAGCCCCAGCTGGGGAGCGTTAGCTGAGACTTCCCCTCTCCGTAAAAGGCAGACTTTGGGACACAGTGGCCCCTGCTCTAACTCTGCAATGGGGAGCTGAGGAGGAGAGGAGAAGCAGCAGGTGAACGGCGGCTGGCTGACCCCCACGGAGGTGGGCCTGGGTCCTCCTTCCTCCGACGCTTTCGCAAGGACTCCCCAGCTCCGCCTCCACTCTCTCCTTCTGCCAGGACAGATGCCAGATGACAGTCTGCTCGCAGGGTCATCTGAGGCAGGAGAGACTAGGGGAGCAGGACCCCAAGTCCTAGTGGAAGGTGGCTGTGCCCTTGGCCTTTGGCCTGAGCCCTCCTGCAACCCCCGTGTGGGGCCTCGGACACTCAGCTCCCAGATCTCTTGAATTTCAGCCTCCCTCTCCCTGTCCACAGGTCCCGACAATGGAGTGCCTTCCTTCACCTCCCCCCCCCACCCCTCTGCCCCAAAGCCCTCTGGGGGCTGAATTCAAGTCCTGTTTCAATAATTTACTGGGAAGCTGAGGCTCAAGCACACGTATTTTATTTTTTTAATATAATGAGCCCATGAGTACTTTACAGGGTAAATAGCCTAGAAGTCTTCCAGCAGGACTTCCTTGTCCTGTGGCAGGGCGCTGGGCCCTCTGGGTTCCCGTGGAGGGCTGCACCCAGGTCTCCTGCAGACACGGGTTCGGGAAAGAGGGCGTGCTCGTGTCCGGTGTGGAAAGTGTTCCCTTTGCTGTCCCTTGCAGGGCTTCCATAGACTTAGGAGCGCTGCCTGGTTTAGCGCCGAATGCAATTACTGGTGTTTTTCTTTGGCATCTAACCCATCGCGGGGACAGCATTCCAGAAAGAACTTGGGCCCTCTGCTGTCTGAGCAGGCTCGACAAAGGGCACCACCATGAGGGAACAGCTGCAGGGACCCCCATTCAAAGTGCCCATGCGGCCTCCCTGGGGTTGCAGAGGGTCGGGGAGGCCACCATTATCCTCCTGGGGCAGCTTGGGGAAGAGTGGTCAGAGCAAATGGCTCCACTCCGGGGTTCAGGCCACTGTCCACCGTATCTGGACTCTTTGGTTTTGCCGGGTGGCCCCTCCTTCTCTCCCCCCACCCCAGCCCCTCCTTTGTGCTCCCTGCCCCTGAGCACCAAGGTCACTCAACCTGGGACTTCTCCTCCCATCTGTGAAGGGACGGATCCTCTCTACCCCAAGGGACGCTTCCAGAATGGTGCCTGCTCAGCCTTCCTACAATCCCGGATCATCAGGGGAAAGAAGCCAGGGTGGGGAGGGTGGAGCCTCACTCTTGGTGGGAGACACTGGGGCCAAGTGGACCTGGGAACCATGGCAGGTCAGCCACCAGAAACAGGCCCTATACTCTATTCGCTGTCCCCGGACACAGCCTCCTGGCCCCCGACGGCCTCTCTCTAGGATCCTGGGGCCACCTCGATTGTCCAGCTCAGTCAGCCACCCAGACACTGGGCACTTCCACCGCGGCAGCGCGGCCCAAGGGGGTGGGGGTGGGGGGGTAAGGGGGCCCTCGGCACCACCCCAACCCCTCCCCTCCCGCGCCTCCTTCCCTCCCACCTGGCATCCCTTGCCCCCTTTGGTCACTCTTCCTGCAGCAGGGGCTCTCGGTCCCCTTCCTGCACCCTGTCGTCCTCCTCCTTCTCCATGCAGCCCACGGTGGCGGCCAGGCCAGCGCCCACGCCGCCGCCGACCACCGCAGCCCCCGTGGCCCCCACCGCGGCGCCAGCCGCCACCATCCCAGCCTCGGCAGCCAGCGCGGCCGCCGCCATGCCCGCGCCCACCACGCCGCCGGCCAGGCCCATGAGCCCGGCCCCGACGGCGCCCCCCACGGCCGCCAGGTGGCCACAGAAGCGCATGGTGTACGAGTCCATGAAGACCTTGGCCTCGGCCTGCAGCTCGGCCTCCAAAGCCTCCAGGGTCTGCTCTCTGCCCTTGCACAGCAGGGCCGCCCCGTGGCGGGCCAGGACGGCGTCCTTCTGGGTGCACAGGAGGTTGCGCATGGTGTCGGGCAGCACCCGCAGCGCGGAGAATATGCGCTTGGTGGCCGCGTCCTGCGGCGGAGAGAAAGGGAGGCGCGCTGACCGCCCGCCCGGGAGCCCGAGGCCTGGGGCTCCCGCGCGGGGCCGCGCGGCTCACCTGCTGCCGCACGTACTCCTCGAACTCCTTCTTGGCAGCTTCCACCGTCCTCAGGTCGTGCAGCTGGGCGGCCATCTGTCCACGGCAAAGCCAGGCTGCCTCCCTCCTCCCGCTCCCGCCCTCGGCTGCATCCCAGGGCCCACGCATCCGGCCCCCCCAGACCCTCCGGAGGGTTGGAGGGGGGACGTACCTCGTCCGCGGAGGCGAACCCGGGCCCGGTCCTCCCCATCCAGCCGGAGAGGTTCTGCGGGGACATCAGGGGAGGGGTGAGGGCGGGCAGGGGGGCGGCGGGCTCTCCGGGGCCTGGGGGCGGGTGGGCGTGGGGGTGCGCGCACCTTGATTTCCTGAGCTAACTGCTGCCCCGTGAGCAGGCGTCTGTCCCCCCTGGCCACGGGGCGGCCCTCGCTCCAGTACCCCGGGCAGCGGCTCTTGGCGTGCTGGGGGGCTGCGCTCAGCACGTCCGCCACGTAGGCACAGAGGTGGCCGAAATCGTCATCTGTGTCTGAGGAAGAGATTCCTCATGCTGAGGAGACCGGGGGCTGAGCAGGGCTGGGCTTTGGGAGGAGAAAGGGTGTCAGAGGCAGCGAGAAGCTCGCTGGGGCCAGGGGGTCGCCCGGAGGCGGGCAAGCTGGGGAGGCCTTGTCCCCGGGGACACTCACCGCAGGGGCTTCCGTGGCCTTTGCTTGCCCACCGACGCCCCGGGGCAGGCAGGAGGTAACAGCGGGCTCGCCTCCCTTGGAGCAGCTCCTGAACCTTGGGGTATTTGCCGGAGGATTTCTGAGAGACGGATGGGGAGACCTCTGAGCCAGGGACCAGGCTCCTTGTTCTTGGCTCCAGCGCAGGCCCCCTCAGGCCTCCCCTCCCCTTCTGCCCAGCTCCCCCCAACCCCCTTGCTTCCCCTCCTTCGCACCCCTCACCTGAATGATGTCACCCACGCGGCCCAGCCCCGCCTTGTTGGAGTGGGATGAGTCACGAACTAAGAGATCTAGGTGCTGGAAGAGAAGGCGTCCTGACACCAGCAGCCTGGGGGTGTTAGGGTCTCGGGTGACGGGTCCAGAAATGGATGTCTCACCTGGATTGGCACCATCCCATAATGCCTGCCCATCACCTCGGCCACGTGGACAAACATCTGGGGGTGAGGCACCAGGGGTCATGGCTGGGTCACCCCAAGGACTGTGGCTTCCTCCCCTCTGGGCCCACTGGGGGATCCCCCACCCTCACCCCCACACCCTCCCCACCCCCCACCCTCACCCCCACACCCTCCCCATCCCCCATACTCCCAGCTCTGGGACTCTCCTGCCTCTCCCAACCAGGCATCTTGTGCTCCACCCTCTGCCCTCAAACCCACCAGCCCAGCTCCAGGTCACGAACTGCTAGGCCAGAACTGGAAGGCACCCCATTACGGCTGGTCCAGTCCCCTAGCCTTATGGCCAGGGCAGGGATAGGGTGGCACCCCAGGACCAAATTTTCTCCTCACCTCCAGATATTCCAGGTCTGTATCCTTCAGCTCCGGGGAGGTGTTGAGGATCTGGAACCAAGGAGAACAAGATGGAAGAGGGTCTGCAAAGGCAAAGAGATACTGGGAAGACCCCGGTGAGGAAGGAGCTCGCAGGCCGACAGTGGGGCCGGGACCCGGGAGACACCTGCCTGGGGGCCTCCGCAGCCTGCAGGTCCGGGGCTGGCCATGAGGGACCGAAGGCAGGCCCGGGAATGGTCCTGCGGACCTTCAGCGGCTCCCGGGGACCTTTGACTTCCCTTTTGAACAAACCATGTTCCCACCTTCACCGACTGCGGGCATCCCTCCCTTGCAGGGGCATCCCCAGAACCTGTGGGGGGACCCCAGACACAGGCATCTGTGAGATCAGGGTAAGCATCCCGGGCACTCCCAGGGCCAGCCCCCCCGCCCCTCCCCGGCTGAGATGTCCCTGTCCTGGAGAAAGCTGAGCGGGAGCTGGGCCGATGGGGCGGGGCACCTGATCACAGCGCCCTCACCTGGTAGGAGCTCAGCATCGTGGTGAGGGCGCAGAGCTTGGTCCTGGTTTCTCTGCTCAGCTCGGGGCTCATGGCGTCCCCTGTGTCCACCAGGAACACGGCCACCTGTACAGGGGGTGGGGGAGGCGGGGAGATGAACCAAGGGGTCAGGCCTGCCTCACTCCGCCATGTGCTCCCCTCCAACCCTCCCTCTGTCCACCGCATCTTCCTGTACCTGCCCCCAAAGCTTGCTTTCTCCATTCCCCTCCCCTTTGTCTGTGATTTCCCCATCCCCCCAAACCTCTTCACCCGCTCCTCCCCCGCCCCGCGATCTTCACCTCCTGTGCCCTTCATGCCCCTCACCTTCCTCCCCTCCTTCCCCAGCAGGAAAGGGTGGCTCCACATCCATATGCCCCTGGTAAGGCTGTTGGCACCCCACCTGAACCCCTGCAGGGACCCTCCTCCTCTCGGCCAGCCGCCCTCCCCTGACTCCTGCAAGGCAGAAAAGAGAGCATCCGTTGGTCCATCCAGCCCCCATTCCCCTCCCAATGCCAGGCTGGGACCCCGAAACGGCCCCCCTGCCCCAGCCCTGCCCTCACCAGGCGTGGCAGGCTCCGGAGCAGGTGGTTGAGGAGGAAGGTCTTCCCTGAGTGCTGCTCCCCCAGGACAGCCAGGAGGCAGACAGGGGTGTCCCGGGCCAGGGGGTGCTTCAGACAGCGGTTGATGGCCCCCATCCTCAGGATGAGGCCTCCAGAGGTATTGATTCGCACGAGCAGCAACGGCTCTGCCCTCACAGCACAGGTCTCCTGCGTCAGGAGAAGGACGGTTCCCGGCGCCACCAGGCGCTGCCAGTGGGACCCCAAGTGCGGCGTGCATCCGACCCCAGACTCTGTTCCCCACCCTGACATCCCAGAATAGAGCCAGAGCCGCTGGGCTCCTCGGGGATCGGACCCCGGTCCCTCCAGCTCCCCCCACCACCCCACCAGCCCCAGCACCGAGGCCTGGGCCCCGGACCTGCAGCACGGAGGGCAGAGGCCTCTGTGGCAGGAGCTTCATCTTCTCCCCCAGACTCCGGAGGCCCTTCTTCTGCTTGCAGATCTTCCGGCACTCGGGGCAGCAGGCTGGCTGGCAGCCGGGGACACGGTGTGTGCTGAAGCACCGCGTGCAGAAGTCATGGCCGCAGTCCAGCGAGATGGGTTCCCGCAGCCTCTCCAGGCAGATGGAGCAGGCAGGAAGCTCCCGGGGCACCGCAGGCCGGGACCCCAGGCCCAGCTCTAACTTGGGGAATGGCGTGTGGGACCTGGGGTGGAGGGGGTGGGGGGCGGCAGAGCAGGGTGTTGGGAGCAGCTTAGGGGGGGCATGCAGGGAGTACGTCGGGCTGCGAGTTTGGGGGCAGGGTGCTCCCAGAAAGGCCAGCTCACTGACTTGCACCCCAGTGCCGGGGACGGCAGAGCCGTGGGGACAGTGCTCCTGGCAGGGAGGCACCCGCATGGGGTCCTAACCCTGCCCCATTGCAGCCGCCACCGCTACCCCGGGCGGCCACGGGCAGGCTCCTGCACGGACTGATCTGGGCCCCCCGTTTCCTAACTGGCCAAGAGGAGAGGTTAGCAGCCCTGGGCTCATGGGGCCATTAGGGCATCCTGCCCGGTGCCTGGCACAAACCTTCCCGAAACCCCTCTCCCACAGCCTTCCACTGCAAGGGCTCCTACCGGGAGTTACTGGCTTCAGCCGGACCCTCCCCCTCCCCAGGAGTGACACCTGCATACACCGTGGGGCCACAAGGAGAGGGTGGGAGCCCCCGGTGGTGGGGCAGATGGCTCTGGTTCTTAGATGATGCCTTCGGCCCTCCCTCTTGGAGCTGGATTTGGTCTCCAAGCAGTACCCACCAGATTGTCCCTGTCCCTCCCTCCACAGCAGATCCAGTTTCGGGCCCTCCCCTGGGAGAGCCCGCGGGACGCCGGGGGCCACAGGGCCCGGGTTCCTGGACCCACGGAGAGCGAGCAGGCTTTGAAGCAGTCCTGCCGGCAGGCCCTACCACTTACCAACTGTTGCGACTGCTTCCCACAAAGCTCCGTTTTCTCTCCTTGGAGACAAAAATGGGGGGCGGGGGGTGGGAATAAAACGCTATCTAGACAAGAATCCGGGTTTCTGTCTTCCTCCTGGGTCTCAGTGGCCTCCATCCCCCTTCTGCAGACCCATCCCTTGTCCCCAGGTGGCCCTTTCCCACCCCCACCCATTCTGCCCCCCCGCCCCTCCCCCAGATGTCAGGACCCAGGACTTGCCTGTTTGCCCAGCCAGTGACAAAAGGAGATGATTGACAAGGCGGACCTCGGCATGGGGGGCGCTGGGAGTGGGGAGAGGTCTGCACGCAGAGAGCGGAGGCCCAAGACAGAGACCCGAGATCGGCCGCCGCAAAGGATGGCTTTCCTCCTGGAAGGGCCGAGCTGTGGCGGGTGGAGGGTGGGTGGGTGGGGGATGGTCTCCCCAGAGGAGCCGACCCGGACTCGTCAGAGCTGGAAAATAGATGTGACAGTCGGGAAAGAGGAGGCTGCCTCTGGACTCACCCCAGGGGGAGGAGACAGGACTGCGGGAACCAGGGCTCCGGAGGAGGGAGGGACGGAGCCGGGCCCAGAATCCCTGGCTGAGGCTGGGATGCAGGCGAGAGCTGAGGTGGTGAGTCGCCATGGAGACGGAAGGGAGAGATAAGGACAGGGAGGGGGGAGGAGGGATGGAGAGAGAGAAGCCATATGGGTGCGTGGCAGAGATGGAGCTGTGGGCAGGCACTGCCCCTACTGGTCCAGCCAGGGTCCTTCCGGGGCCAGCGAGCACGGTGTGCAAAAGGAGGGGTGTGGGAAACGGGGACAGCACCGCCCCAGCTGACCTGGAGAGGGACAGGGAGCCTCCCTTCCGTCACCGGAGGAACATTTTACTGAGCACCCGCTCTATGCGGGGCCCCAGGATGCTGGCCTATTGCATGTGGCCCTGCGCCTTCCCTCCTGGAGCCGAGTCCCCAGCCCCCCTGGCGTCTCTGACATTGACTGTGTGACTCCTGGTGTCTTCCCCTTCCCATGGTTTTCACGCAGCTCCAAGCTTGTGACCATCCCCTCTGGACCTTCTAACTGCCTCTAGACTGGGCTCCTCCCATCTGCTGCGCAGCGCACAGCCAGAGCTCCCCGCCCAGCACAGCTGCTCCATGCGGCTCCATGCTGCTCCAACACTGGCCATAGCTCCCTACAACCATCAGATCAAAATCCAAACCACCTGGCCTGTACCTGCGGGCCTGAAACTTCCTCTCCGGGCTTTGCCCTCTCTCCCCCTTCCCTGCTTCTGCACCTTGGCTCCGTGTTCCCCCTGCCTGCAGGAGGTTGCTCCCCCTCCTCCCTCCGGAGAGACCCTCGCAGGCCCAGCTCAGATGCCATTCCCCCTCCCCGGGGGCCTGCCTGCCTCCCCTTTCCTGACTGGACGTGATCTGGCCATCAGGTGGCTCGTGATCAGGTACCTGGTTGTGATAGGTTACAAGCGGCCAAGGCTCTGGAGCCAGACTGCTCCGGGCTTGCTTCCCAGCTGACCCATATGAGCCAGGGGCCCTGGGTGTTTGCTTTCACTCCTCTGAGCTCTGAGGGGGTCACAAGTACGTACAGAAAGCCACTTGCCCAGGCGAAGTTATTCTTAAGCCCTAGGTGCTAGGATGCAGAGGGGCAGGGGGATGGATTCACCCGGAGAAGTCCAGGAGAGACCTTCCCTAGCAGGCGGGGCTGGATATTGCTCACGCCTCACTCTGGACTTTCACACTTGGAAATGGGATGGCACTGATCACACACCCAAGAAACTGGCCCTGGTCACTCTGGCTTGCTGTGTGGATGACAGATCAGAAGGACAGGGAGAGACAACTGCTTGCTGTGAGCTACTACTGTGGGAATCGGCCCCGCAGAGCGACAGGCCCGGGGAAACGTACTGCATGCTGGGGCCGAGAACCTCCTGCTCCTGGAGAAAGTCCAGGCCTCTGTCCCTTTGCTCTTAGAGGCCCCTGCTGGTATCTGGGGCTCTGAGGGGCACCCCTTGCCCAGGGAGACTGACTGTGGGGGTTAGGTTTGGACGGCCCCATTCTATCCACGAGGCTCTGGAGGCCTGTGCATGTTTCTACCGTCTCTGAGAGGGATTGAAACCTGATGGGAGCATGAGAATCTCCAAACTACAAGAAGAAAATGTCAAATCAGACGTAATACCTGCTGAGTTTGGCACCTGCTACCCTCTACATGATGTCAACTGGGAAAATCAACTCGGCTTCTCCTCTGTGAAGTCAGAATCAAATCACGAGGGCCACTGAGTCAAGAAATGTTTCCTGAGCACCTGCTAAGTGCTGAGCACCGAGCTGGATTCTGGGATAGTCGTCACATGGTCCTACACACTAACAAGTAATTTGTTCTTACCAAATTCAACACTGTAAAGATTATACAAATCCTCTTTCAAAAATTCAGGGCAGGGGCGCCTGGGTGGCTCAGTCGGTTCAGCGTCTGCCCTCTCTCTCTGCCCCTCCCCCCTGCGCTCTCTCTCAAATAAATAAACAAAATCTTTAAAATAAATAAAATAAAATAAAAAATTCAGGGCAAAAAAAATGTCTGTTCCACGTGGGCTATGGGCAACACTTGTTTGGGTGTGTCTGCTCTGATGTGGAGGGAGAGTTCCCCAAGGTCCAAGTTCCTGAGCATTGCAGGTAAGCGCCGCCCAGGAGGGGGAGGGGACACCAGCAGGTGGCCCGGTGCCCCTGTGCAGGGACCACAGTGTCCGAAAAGGAAAGGAAGAAACTCTGCTCTGCCTCGCCCCTTGGTTTCTAGCGGGTGAGGATCCCATGTGGGCCCCCCACAGTGCCCCCAGCCCACCCCAGGGACTCCTAGGTTCAGGAAAGGTCACACCGAGCCAGGCCTGGCCCTACAAGGTAGACAGGCCTCCAGGGTGCTCCTCGGAGCTGAGTGGTGACTTCAGAGAGAGCAGAGCCCACCACGAGGGGCTGGAGCAAGAGGGTGGTCCTGGGTTTCAGGAGCTTGAGCTGTGGAGAGGGAGTGAGTTTGTTCATTCATTCACCCAGCAAACATGGTGGCTCCTCCCTCTCTTTGGGCCCAGCTCCCAGTGGGCCCAGCTCCGACCTCCTGACTTCTGGCTCCAGCTTCTGGCCTGGGGAGAGGGGAGGGCAGAGAGTCGCTTACAGAAAAACCAGGAGCCAAAAATACAGTCTCCTAGACTGGGCCCCTGTTTGGGAAGGCTTCTGGGTCCCCTGATGCAGGCAGGAGCTGATACACACACACACACGTGCACACACACACACACACACACACACTCATTCACCTAATCACCCCCTCTCATGCCCTTCCATGCAAATTCACACACATACACGGTCAACATAGTCCCGCTTACCCACACCGTGCACACTGTCCCTTGTCTGTATAGACCCCCCAGCACTCACGGGTGTATACTTAGACTCACAACTGCACATGCACATCCACACATTCATACGCTCGCTCCCTGACACACTCACACACAAACACACTCGCATGCATGCCAAGGCCCTCCTACTTGTGCACACTCACACATGAGTTCACACTCCCATGTGCACGCACACAAGCCACATACTCCTACCCTCAGGCTTTGTCCCTCACCCTACGTGCATGAACTTACCCTGCGTAACACAACCTATGAGGGAGGTACTACATTACTCCCATTTTACAGAGGAAGAAACAGACCAGAGAGGTTAAGTCACTTGTCCAAGGTCACACAGCCATTCATGGCAGAGCTGGAATCCAAACCCAGTCAGTCAGGCTCCTGCGCCCAAACTCTTGACTACTACATTCTATGGTTTTCTGGGTGGCAGAAATTATGTCCGCTATCAGCAGCCTGTAAAGCAATTTGTGGTCTTGCTGTGTCTCCCTATGCAGTCACTCACTTCCGAGAAGGAAAGAAAAATTGGACAAGGCCTGGTCTAGGTGGAGATTGGAATTAGGAATCAGGCAACTTCGTTGTGGATCGTTCTGACCCCAGCTTGCTGTGTGACCTTGGGCAAGTCACTGATCTTCTCTGGGCCTCAGTTTCCTGATGTGTAAGTGGAAGGGGGCTCAATGAGACCAGAGGGCTCCTCTCCTGCCTCCCTGGCCTGGAGCTTCCCGAGGGCACGGGGCAGGCCGGCACTCCCCAGGAAGCCTGGCATAGCAAACACTGGCGAGCCCTGGCTCCCTCCTTGTCCAGCCTTACCTCCTGGACAACTCTCCCTTGTAAGAATCACCTGGATGCCCCCAGCACGTGCAGGCCATTGGGGGGGATCGTCACACCCTCCCTCACTGTCGCTGTGCTACTGGGGCAGATGTCGCGGATGTGCCTTCTCTGGGAAGAGCCAGCCCTTTCCATCCCCTGGCCTCCACCCAGCTGCCCAACGGCACCCCCCGCTGGGGGACTGGCTGGGAGAAATTGAAGGAAACAAGCCCACATCTGGGGCTGAGGGGACATCCCTCCACCCATCTCCACCCTGAACCCAGGTACAGTCTTCCCCACTCCTCCCCAAGCCCTTCCCAGCCCCCTGCCCTCTCCACCCACCCCCCAGCCTGAGCCTCAGCTTCCCTCACCAGCCCTGCATCCCTGTCCATGGTACCTCTCCCTGAATGGAAACAGCTCTCTCATTGTGGCCAAGGCAAGACTCTGTCACTCCTTGTCTTCCATTTCTCCCACAGCTTCTTCCTCCTCTGCAGTCTCTCCAGCAGACTCATGTGCCACTCCTGGACCAGGAAGTCTGTGAAGGTCTCTACTGCAGGGAGAGCCCAGAGACCCTGATCATTGAGCACAATGGACTGTGTGTACGGACCCCACCCAATGTGTCCCCGAGGCCTGTCAGGTGAGTGAGGAGTCCACTCACCCACCCATCCATGTATCCTTCACCCACCCGTCCATCCAGCCACCCACCCACCCGTCCATCCATCCATTCCTCCAAACATCCATTATGCGTGCACTCATTATCTACCCATTTGTTATCCACTTATTTACCCACCTACTCAGTCAACCATGCACTCATGCATTACCCATCACTAATTCTTCCATGTATGCACAATTCATTTCCTATATTCTTTTATCCATCCATTCCCCAGATACTCACTGATACATCTTCCCCTGCATGCATATATCCATGACTTCTTCCATCCACTTTCCCATTCACCCATCTACTCCTGCACCCACCTGCCCCTTCCTCCATCCTTTCCCCCACCCACTACCCCCATGCATCCATCCACCCACCCATCCACCAATCCATCCACCCATCCACCCACCTGCCCCCACCCATCCACCCATCCACCTGCCC